CATCACTGAGGAATAAATGAAGAGGAGTGCTGGGTAACTGGGAAGTGTTTCCTATTCCCTGTGCTCTGGGATGGAGCTCCTGCTGCTCTCTTTAGTGCTTAAATTCACTTTTCTCCTCCCAACTCGCCCATCTCCTGCACAAATTTACACAGGGCTGTAAATTCTGTGAGTTATGGGAGGTTTGGAGTAAACCTGGAGTAAACCTGGAGCTGTGGGATCAGCAGGAGGAAAGAAAAAGGAGCTCTCTGTGCTGCTTTAACTCAAGTTTAGCTTTACTGCACCTCTTTAACTTAAGGCAGGTGATTTATTTACTTTGTGAGTAAGCTGACAAGAGAAAAAATGTCATAAAGCAAAGACCACACAACCCCTTTGTGGAAAATCCATGAAGGAGGTCTGGGATGAGCCAAGGAATAATAAAAAAACAGCAAGCTGGGAATGACCAGCAGCTTTTCCACAGATTTATCCAGCTCTAAGTGCAATTATCAGCTGGAGGATTGAAAAGAAGTGCAGGTAGGTTTTTAAAATAATACATAAATAAATGCATTGTCAGAATATCCAGTAGAGGCCAAGTAAAATTGAGTTTAAAACAGGAATGAATGGATTGTGGGTCTTTGGCTCACTGGCCAGCAGARGAAGTTGCAGTTACAAAGGAAGGAGCTGGAAAAGCCCAGGGAATTCAGAGGCAGGAAAGGAGGAAAATTTCACTCAAGCCTTTGGAAAGGCTCTTCCTTGGACACTCAGCTCCTTTCTTGGTAATGTGATCTCTCCCAAAACTGCAGAAGAGATGGAAAGAAAGAAAAAAGAAAAGAGAGGGAGGAGAAARACCACAAAGCCATAAAAGTTGGCAGGAGGAACAAGAAGCAGCTTTTTCCTAAGTTACTCAGAGCTCAAATCGATGGTCTCAGGCTGCTGGTGGCACTGAGCTCTCCAGTGCTGAAATTTCATCCTCCCACCTGACCCCGCTGCCAATATTGCTGATGGAATTAGGATTTCCAGAAAATCACTTGAGCTCAGAGCAGGGCAGGGGAGGAGATACTTCGCACAGAAGTTGATCATTAAATGTTCTCTTGGAGCTGTTTATGGATCAGTTCAGCACCGCCAGCTCCTTGCTCCCAAAAATCTGTAAATCCTTCTCCAGCTCTTGCACACATCATCTTCCCTGTCCCAAAATCTGCAAATCCTGCTCCAGCTCTTGCACACATCATTTTCTCTGTCCCAAAATCTGTAAATCCTGCTCCAGCTCTTGCACACATCATTTTCCCTGTCCCAGTGCCCGTGGTTTGGGTATTTCAAACCAGACTCTGTGTTATTTTCTACCAGGACAGCTCCTTTCCCAGCTGGAATATCCTGGGATGAAGGAATGGCAGGACATCCCAAAGATGCAGCAGGAACAAGGACTGAGAGCTCCAGGGAAAAGGAAATGATGCCATGGACCAAGCCAGTGCTCTGAGCAAGAAAATCCAAATTATCCTCCTGCASCYCAYCAGGAGATGCTCCAGCTGCAGATGAACCCTCCTTATCATTTCTGAAGCTCTGACACACCTTTTTCTRTATTTTATTTCTCAGCATTTCCTTCTTCAAACCAGCTTTTCTCAGTATTTCTGCCTACTTGAGGCAGTGAAAATAAAATCTCAAATAAAGAATATTTAAGAGCTGATTTTTCTCAGGCGTTGGGGAGACACTGAGGCAGGATTCTTGTGTTAAACTAAATCAATCCTCCCCCAGCCATGGCAGAAATGCAGACATGCACCCCTAGAAACACTGAGCTGTGTCCCACTCCTCAGTGGTGGGCAGAAAATCAGCTTTGAACATGCAACTGGCATTTAAAAATACCCAACCAACGACTGAAATGTTAGTAACACATGGGCAAAGCAGCATGAGAAGGACAGAGTTTCTCACCTCCCATCAAACCTGTGCTTCAGGAAGTCAAAGAGAGCTTTCTGCATCATGTCTGTCACCTTGGCAGAGGGGAGAAGATTGAGCAGGGGGTGGACAGGGAGAGARAGAAGCCAAAAGGAAGGAAAGAGGTGAGTAGAAGGCAGGGATACAGGCAAAAATCAACACCCTGATGGGCAGAACCACTGCAGGGCCATGCTCCTGGCACTCCTCAGCAATAAACCCATGAATAAATCCAAGAGCAGATCTGTCACTCTGTGTGCCCTGTGCTGACCTGCACCCAGCATTCCTCACCCCCTTCCACATCCAACACCATTCCCAAAGCTTCACAACATGACACAACCACATGGGATGTCTGCTTGGACACATCACTTGGGCTTTTCCTACAGAACATTGTTAGGAAGGGCTTCAAACTTCAGGGATGGGATTTATTGTGTTCCCAGAGAGGGACAACAGCAGGAAAATGGGATGATCCCACTCCTGGACATGGGAACACACTGGGGATAACAACCCCAAGAGCTGTCATCTCTGAACTCTGATTTCCTGAGCAGCTCCTGGTTCTTTCCAGGCCAACTCAGGCTGACAATTTTTGTCTGCCAGGCCAGGCAGGAGCTTCAGCAAAGCCCCCAGGACTCTCTGCCAGTTTCTTTCTCTCCTTCAAACTCATTCCTTCAGAATTTAGTCAGAAAAAAAACAGTCAAAATAATTTCCCCAAAGTAAGATCAGGCATTTCTGTTATACAGACCACTGTCTGTAATTGAAATKAATATTCTGTGTTACCATCTACACACATTTTTATGTTCAAGGTGTCGTGTTTAGTGTTATTTTCTTTCAAACAGAGACAGGGTGGCAGATTTGAAGAGGTTTTTATTAACCAACAGCCTCTCTCCCCTCCAAACTCGAGAGGTAAATTGATCTGTGGTGCAGCACAGAGGGAATTTACTGCTGTCAAAAAACTTCCCCATCAAATTAAAAGGCAGAGAGAAGAACACAAAGTACCTGCCCTGCTGAGCTGCACCTCCAGCCACTCTCACATAAAAACAATGCCARAACACTGCATTGTGCCAGGGCTGCAGCCTCCCAAAAAAAACCATTCCAACGTCTTTAATAATGTCCTATAAATTACTGACAACATTAATTAAGCTTAATGAAGTGTATCTTTGATTTGATGTTCATTTAGTTCCTGGATGGTTGAGCTCCCCAAAATGCCCTGCTCCAAGTCTCTGCTCATTTAGGATGTGGTGAATGCTCCCTTGGATCTGCAGCAGCCCAAAAAGGCTGTCCTGGTTATCTGGGCACCTTCTCTGCCCATTTTCCATGGGAGGAATCTTTTAGAAGGGTCCAAAGTTTCTTTGCAAATATATTTGAATTTATTCATGAAGTGAAAAAAGGGGARCAACAAGGAAGCTCCTTCGAAATTTTTGCTAATTAAGTTCAAAGCTTGTGCTGGTTTGATGAACATTTTTCATGTGTAGAGTCCAGCTCATTAATTTGACTGCTCCAAATTGTTCTTGTAGCAGACACAAATTCTCTTTTTTTTTTTAACTTGATTTAATCAAGAATGAGTGCACTGAAAAGAATGGATTTCCACTGTGCCTGAAACAGTACAAGTCAGAAGTAACTCTCAGCTCCTACAGAACATTTTTGGTAATTATTTCAGCTAAATCACTTGAAATGATCATAAACAGTTGCACTGGGCCACACAGTGAATTACTGAGGATGATTATAGATAATAAAAGATGAATTAATTGCAAATCTGTGAGTACATACCTCATAGCCTTTGAGTGAGGGGCCCACCAACACCACAGGTCTCATTGATGGCACCACATCATAGGGGGGAATGTGTTCTGTCTGCAGGGAAAAAAAAAACCCTTTAGATCATCAGCCAAGCACCATCCCTGGGCAAATCCTGGGAATTGTGAATTCCAATGAAATAAAGTGGAAAGAAAAAAAAATCACTTACCACTTTTTGTTTCTGTTTTGCTAGAAGACCAAATGAGAACTTGGTTAAGACACACCCATGCAAACAGAAATCCCTCTGCCAAAGCACTGTTTTCTCACTCTGCACCTCCCTCTGCTCAGCCCTGCATTAAACTGGGCATTCTGTACATTAAACTGGGCATTTCAGGTATTAAACTGGATAGTCTATACATTAAACTGGGCATTCTGTGCATTAAATTGGGCATTTCAGGCATTAAACTGGGCATCCTATACATTAAACTGGGCATTCTATACATTAAACTGGGCATTTCATGCATTAAACTGGGCATTCTGTACATTAAACTGGGCATTCTATACATTAAACTGGGCATTTCAGGCATTAAACTGGGCAGTCTATACATTAAACTGGACATTTCAGGCATTAAACTGGGCACTCTGTACATTAAACTGGGCATTTCAGGTATTAAACTGGGCATTCTATACATTAAACCGGGCATTGTGAACATTAAACTGGGCATTTCAGGCATTAAACTGGGCACTCTATACATTAAACTGGGCATTTCAGGTATTAAACTGGGCATTTTATACATTAAACTGGGCATTTCAGATATTAAACTGGGCATTCTGTGAATTAAACTGGGCATTTTGGGCATTAAACTGGGCATTCTGTGCATCAAACTGGGCATTCTGTACATCAAACTGGGCATTCTGGGGCAACTGCTGCCATTCCCAAGGTTTTTCCCAGCCCCTGGCAACTCCTGCATGGTTAGAATAGATTTCCTCTCCTCCCTTGTGCACTTTGCTGTAAAACATCTCAGTAATTTAGCAAAGGGAGAAACGTGAATATTCCTTATAGGGTTTTGAAAACTGATTAGCAACACAAGGGTTTCCCTAAATAAATCCTGTCTTACCTGTGGCTGTAGGTGTGGCTCGAAAGGTGCCAGAAACCATCTCTCCAAGGCTTGAAGAAGAATTTCCACTGGATTTTCTATGGAGCAGAAAGAGCCTCATTAACACCAGGTACTCAAAATGTGGGAGGTTCTGGGGAGGAACCYCCACGAGGAATCACAAAATCATATAAACATAAATTACCTAACAAAACTGCTCAAAAATGAACTGGTTTATCATTATAACTTGGAATTTTTTCCTAGAAATCCAGCAGCACCTCCCTGAATTCAGCAATTTTTCTGTATATTGAGACCCACTGGTTTCCTCTGAAGTTGTGTCAAAAATGATAAAAGAAATTTGGATGCTGTTCAGCCATTCTGAAAGCATTGCCCCAGGTTTATCTCCCAGACTTTTTTCAAGGGATTTGCAACCTCTGGGTCTGGCAGGGTGGAGACTCAGAAAACTCAGGYTGGAAGATGAATAAAGGATGGCAAAGCTGATCTTACAAAAATTRACAAGTCTGGTTTGGGTCAAAATGGAGAGAAGGGAAAAAAAGGAAGAAAAAAGCCACAACTTTAAGAAAAGCTAGGGAGAATTTTAGCACCAAGTTGACCTAAAGCCACGAGGACACAAAACTCTCAGAAATTCCTGTCATTACACCCCACTGCTCTTCCCCAAAGTCCAACACATTTCTTATTTCACATCTCCCCCGCCTGCTCTCCACAAATCCCTATTTCCAGCGGGAATCCCAAACCCAACACTGCAAATGCCCTGCAATAAAGCAGCAGCAGGTGACCTTTAAAAATTTTTCCCTGTGTCAGGAAGGATTTGAGCTGATTTGCAGAAGCCTCACCCTCCATGGAAGCGGCCCCTCTTCTGCTCCTGCTGGATGCGGATGTTCTCCAGGCGCAGCGGGCTCGGGATGAATCCAATCTCACAGCCTTCCTTCACCAACCGTCCTATCCACCAGTCATTGTTGTATTTCTGGAAAACAGCCAGGTCAGTGTGGCCCTGATTCTGAAAYTCAGGCAATTATTGTGTATGACTGAGGCCTGGGAAAAGAAAGGGATGTTAACAACCTACGTGGAGGAGCAACGCTGCATCCCTGAAAAATGGAGACTGGAATGTAGAATTGATAAYGCAAGTGGCTGGAAATTATAAGCATTACTAATACTGTAGCTTTTGCAAACTCACCAATTATGTTCTGATTACTAATTAAACAGATGTCTCTTGACCAATGTATGTTTGACACAAATGTATACTCTGGTTGCTAAAGTGGATAAAAGAGGCTTGTCCAACGATAAAGTTCTTTCTTTCTGTTTTTTTTCACCCACTTTTGTGTGTTTTGTAGCTATTCTTTTCTGTCGCTGTTTGGCCAGCAGCGACAGGTCAGTGCCATCACTCCCTCCTCCAGCTCCCCAATTCCCTTTTTTTGGTGTCCACAATCCTTAATTCCATGCTGGATAAAGAACCAGACTCACATCGAAGAGTCAGAGCAGAGTGTTGAGGCTGTTTCCCCTTGTCCTGTCCCTTCTGATTTAATTTCAAGGTTGATTTAATGAGCAGAACTGATTATTCTGAGCTCAGGCCACCAAACAACCTCCCAGCAGCCACATAAAGCAGTCCAACATAAAAATAACACCTTCAGCTTCCCATCAGAACCATCATTATTGGTTCCTTGTCATATTTAATGATCCACACAAAAGATCACCACCACTGCTAACACTTTCCCTCCCTCCTTTCCAGGTATTTGTATGGATGTTATTAACAGGTTGTGACAATTGAGGAAAAATTCACCTTTAGGAAGAAACCTGAAGTATAGCATTTAATTTTATCACTGACCTTTAGTAACACACATYTTTCTGCTTTATTGAAAGCCTGGTCTCTCCCTAATGATGGAAAGATGAAAAGCAGTATCCTGCTGGATATTGGAGTGGAAAAGGATTTGTTGTAGCTGCTGCCAGCACAGCTTTTGAAGAAAAGTATCTGAAAAGCCTCTGCTCTGTTCTGCTTCATTAGGCAGCTCAGTGTTCAAAAGAAACATTGCTTTTCACAACTGGCTTTGGAGTCATTAAGAGCAGCACGAGTGAATGGGTTTTGTTTGCTYGCCTGGAGGAAAAAGCTATCACAGACATCTCATCTTCAAGATCACCACTGCTCCTGGCCCCACTTTTGCAGGCATTTCAGTCCTTGCAGGAACACAGAAACACCATGTCTCTGTTGTCAGAGGTACAGCAGTGCCTGCTGATGACTGAGACACAGAGCCCCAGCMCTGAAAAATAAATGGGTTTTTTACCAACCCATGCGTTTTAACATTAACCATGATAAACACAAATATTAACATGTAATAAACTAAGGGAATGCAATCCTCATACCCTGAAAAACCTCTTCATCCTTATTTTTATGTCCATTATTTTCTCATTCCAGCTAAGTATTTCCTYTTCCTGCTGTTGTGACCTTGATTTAACAGTGGCAGTAAGCAAAGCTTAATTTGAAGTAGGTTTAGTTCCAGAACTACTGCCAGTCTGTGAACCAGACAAACCCTTCAGGATCCWGCATCCTGCTGCTGGAAATCAGTGAACTCAGAGGCTGTGGATTCCATCCCTGGAAATGTCCAAGGCCAGGMTGGACAGGGCTGGGAGCACCCTGGGACAGTGAAGTGTCCCCAGCCATTTTAAAATTCCTTCCATCAAAAAAAACCAGTGTGGGGTTATGCTGAGGGCTCTGAACACACGAATGCCAAGGCTGCAGCAAGGAACATGGGATTTATCCCATTTTAAAATTCATCCCAAACCAGTGTGGGGTCATGCTGAGAGTATCTGAGCACACAAACACCAAGGATGCAGTGAGGAACATGGGATTCGTCCCATTTTAAAATCCATTCCAAACCAGTATGGGGTTATGCTGAGGGTGTCTGAACACACAAATGCCACAGATGCATGGAGGAACATGGGATCTATCCCATTTTAAGGTCCTTTCCATCCCAAACCAGTGTGAGGTTATGCTGAGGGTGTCTGAGCACACAAAAGCCAAGGATACAGTGAGGAACATGGGATTTATCCCATTTTAAGATCCCTTCCATCCCAAACCAATGTGAGGTTATGCTGCGGGTGTCTCAGCACACAGACACCAAGGATGTAGTGAGGAATACGAAATTTATCCCATTTTAAAATCCATTCCAAACCAGTGTGGGGTTATACTGAGAGTATCTGAGAACACAGACACCAAGGATGCAGGAGGAACATGGAATTTATCCAATTTCAAGATCCCTTCCATCCCAAACYAGTGTGGGGTTATGCTGAAGGCTCTGAACACACAAAAGCCATGGACGCATGAAGGAACATGGGATTTATCCCATTTTAAAATCCATYCCAAACYAGTGTGRGGTTATRCTGAGGGCTCTGAACACACAAATGCCACAGATGTGGCGAGGAACATGGGATTTATCCCATTTTAAGATCCCTTCCATCCCAAACCAGTGTGAGGTYATGCTGAGGGTGTCTGAGCACAAACACCAAGGATGCAGCAAGGAACATGGGATTTATCCCATTTTAAAATCCATTCCAAACTAGTGTGGGGTTATGCTGAGGGCTCTGAACACACAAATGCCAAAGATGCAGCAAGGAACACGGGATTTATCCACATCAGGTCCTTCCTCYCCTGTTTCTCAGTGTGTGGGAGGAGCACATTCCTCCTCCCCGTGGCTGCCATGCCCCTGATTCCTTCTGCTCCCTCAGTAATTGTTACCCCTCCATCCTTTAAGCAGGCACATAATAGTTTGGAGGAGACAGATGAGACACACAGGACACTCCACAAAACAGCAGCTCCTCACTCACTGCAGCTCTTCCACCCTGCCTGAGGGTGACCAGGCTTTGTACCCAGCTTAGCATCATCCCCAAATCTGGAACCGTTGCTTTGGCCCAAGCAGACCCTCCCAGAGCACTGACAAACAAATCCCACAAAGCCTTTTCTCAGCATAGGGAACCATCCCCAAATCCTACTGAGTTACAGCTTCGGGCAGGCTGAGCTGAGCTGAGCTGACAAACAGCAGAAAGCAGATGGTTTACAGCTCAGTGGCAGTGTGAGCTCGGGTGTTTAGGCCTTGGAAGACAACTCTTGGAATGCCAAGACATGGATTTGGGACACTTGTCTGGAAAAATGTACAAGGCAGCCTGAAAGGAGCTGAGAATGTGCAGCTCAGTCAGTGCCTTGACAGTAAAGGGGATCATGTCTAAGGATGCCAAGATCAAAAAGTGGAAAAAGGGAATTTGCTGCCTGTCCCTCCCAAGGAGAGGGAATATGAAGCAATTCCCTGTTCCAGAACCAGAGGAGGGGCAGAAGCAGGTGTTTTCCTCCTGAATRTGCTCTGTCTAAGGGAGATCAGTGCTCTGGAGTTATGATGAGCACGTGTTCAAAGAAAGACACAGATGAGCACTGAACACCCCAAAATAAACCCAGAATGCAGAGATGAAAAAGTGCTTTTGCAAGCTGCAAGCCTCTGCACCAATCTACAGCTCAACGGGGGGTTATGCAAATGTGGAGGGCTCGCTTCAGATAAAAAATTGCACAAAATATGCTCAGCATGCAATAAAATGCAATTTTCTCTACCAAAGCCATACTCAGGGCTCATTTATTCCCATTTTTCCCCCTTGTTTTTGCATCTGTCCTCTTCAGGATTTTCTTTTCTTGCTGTATTATTTTAAGTGTCACTTCCTCCCTGAAAGGGAGCCTGGCTGGTGTTTTCTGAAGGCCTGGTGTGACCTGGTRTGACCTGGTGCTATCCCTGGAATCCCTTTTTACTGCACCATCTCTGATCCATCAGAAATKCACTCTGATGGGAAAAATCTGAACCCACACTTTAAAGAGTATTTTTTCTTTCCTGTGTGATAATAAATTGGTAACACCAAGTGTTCCTAAAGTGCAGGAGCTCCAGGAAAGCTGAAGAACCACCTCATCCTCCCCTGCTCTCATGGATATGGCTCAGCTGCTCAAATCAAAGCCCTTGGCCTGCAAAATGATTCCYTTTCCATGGTTTTACCTCTTTAATGTGTAGGAAGTCCTTGGCATCRAAGGAGATGGCAGTGCTTGGGACAGGAACATCTTCATCCAGAGCTCCACAGTAACTCACGTTGGTCTTGACAGCAAATGCTACTGGTTTGGACTACAAACAGAAAAAAYACATCACAAACACTGCAAACTTTTCATCCATGAAAATTCAGATGCAGTGATTTCACCCTGGCCAGTAGAGTTCAGCTCCCTGGAGAATATCCTCATTTAGAGAGAGATTTTCTGCGGAGAATTTGACTCAGCTGCCCAGCTATTTCAAAATGATGAATTTTGGTGGATTTTAACAGCAGGCAGAAGGGAACTGGGAAAAGGAACCCACCTTGGCCCTCTCGAGCTGGATGGCTGCTTGCTGCTCCCTTTCCTGGCGGATTGCTTCCCTGTCCTCTTCCAAAGAGACATCAGAGTCCGAGGGTCTGCTCGTGTACGAATCTGCTGAGCCCTGAAAGGAAATTCAGGTAAGAAAACACAGAGAAGGAATAAAAACCCCTTCCCCAGGCAAACTGAAAATTACTTTGTTTCTTCAGGTTTTTTTTGGAGTGGGTTTTACACAGACCAAAGTCCTGAGGAAACCTCTCTCCTTTACTTTTTTACTGACACAGTGAAATCCAGCYCAGCTGTGGGCACTGTCCAAAAGTCTTTTATTTAAATCCTGTTTGACAACCTTAGACTCGGGATTGTCAAGGGTTAGGTCACATCAAATATAATTAAGGAATTAAATAGCTTGGTTTGAATCATCCCTCCCCATGAATACRCTCCATTGTGTAAGAGCTTTGTTACCATACACAGAACTTTGTTCTGGGTTTCCAAGGGTAAAAATGGCAAAAAATGACATTTTTTCAGCTGCTCAAGAGGCCAAAACCACAACTCTGTGTTGATACAACATGAAACCAGCACGTTCAGACAGCAGCAGAGAGCATCAGCCTGTGAGGGGRGAAGGAAGTGCTGCCACAGTTGGATTTTTTGCCATTATTTGGAGATTATTCASGATACCTGGCAACCCCTGAAGTGTGGAGTGGTTCCTGTCTTTGCACAGCTCAGCCTRACTCCAGCATCCCACCCACCTGATCATTATGTGTGTGTGGAGCCAGAGGACAGGCAGGGCTTTAACCCTGCAGCTCAGGGAATGTTCATTCCTGATCAATCCGTGGCTCTAGACAGAGCCAATTCCAGCAGAGACCTTCATTACAGCCTTCATTTTTCTCCCTCACATTGATTTATATCCTGCAGCACAGGGACAAATTTCTACTGTGCAAGTCAATATTCTCACTGTCCATGTAAAATCACATATTCTTAAATATTGCTGTGAACACACGGCCACTGCTGTGGATCCAGGGCCATCCACGTGAACCCACATCCCTCTCAAGAGTTCTGCCCATGGACCACAGAGGAGAATTTTCTCCTTGTTCCATCCTCACAACCTCCCTGTCACTGGGAAKGGCAGAATTCCTCCAGGCCAGGAACAGGATTTGCCTGATGGGAGTTAACCCACAGCTGGGATTTTAACATTAAATTCCTTCCAGGACCTACAGAGAGCTGGGAAGACACRAGAGTTGAGGGTCCTGAGCTGGCAGCACTCAGCTCTTCCCAGCTGAACCCACACATCCTGCTCTTTCTGCTTCCCTTGGGATGGAGCAGAGACCAGGGAACCACAGCACAGGCCAGGCCTCCTCACAGAACCTCTCATCCCTCTCAATGCCCGACAGCCCTTTCCATGGAGAAATTCCTGCTGATGTCCCCCCTGCCCATCCCCAGCCCAGCCTGAGGCCGTTCCCTCTCCTCCTGTCCCTGTTCCCTGGAGCAGATCCCAAATCCCCCCGGCTCTCCCCTCCTGTCAGGGAGTTGTGCAGAGCCACAAGGTCCCCCCTGATCCCCCTTTTCTCCAGGCTGAGCCCCTTCCCAGCTCCCTCAGCTGCTCCTGGGGCTCCAG